CACACACACACACACACACACACACACACACACACACACACACACACCCATCCGCTGCTCCAGGAGGGGCAGCCTCCCTCAGTAACTCAGCATGTCAGCAGATGCAGAGATGTCCTGCCTTTGGGCCATCATGTTAAGGGGAGGAGGAGGGCGGAAGCTGCCGAAGCAGGTGACCTCAAAGCACAGCATGTGGTTTCCAGATGGGCCTCTGGTTACTGCAGTCCCTTCCCTCAGCTTTGCATGTTATTTCCTGGAATGAGGTTGGTCTGAATGGATGAATCCTCTGAACTCTGAGCCAAAAAGAAAATAAATTGGTTTAAGTTTAAAACATCTGTGCTGTCCAGCTTAGCCCAATTCATCTGCCCCCATGGTATCATTCAAGCACTTGTGTTCTGTTCCCTAGTAATCAGTTGCTTTTTTTCTTTTTTGTTCTTAAAGGACTCAGGAAAAACTGTTCAATAGCCTGGAAGACCTGCAAAGTAGCTCTGTGGAAAAGGTTTGCCTGTTAATCAATCAGTCAGCGTTTATTGGTTGTCTCTGCTCTGGGGGCCCATGTATATGGGTTACAAGAGGAAAGAGACAATGGAGAGAGTAAAAGCTAGCATTTATGTAGGGCTTTAAGTTGTACAAAGCACTTTACATCAGTTAACTCCCAACAAACCTGGCAGGGAGGTGCTGTTATTATCTTCATTCTATAAAGGAGGAAACTGAGTCTCAGAGAGGTTAAGTAACTTACCCAGGGTCACACAACTAGTAAGTGTCTGAAGCAGAATTCTAGCTGAAGTCTTCTGGACTCCAAGCCCCATGATTTAGAAATAACGTAGGAGGAGGGGCAGCCAGGTGGCACAGTGGATAGAGTGCTGGCCCTGGAATCAGGAGGACCCAAGTTCAAATCTGGCCTCAGACCAGACACTTGACATTTACTAGCTGTGTGACCCTGGGCAAGTCACCTAACCCCAATTGCCTAAAAAAAAAAAGAAAAGAAATGACACAGGGATCAGGTGAAGTAATATATGAAAAGCACTTTATAAGCTTTAAAAGTCAATGGTTTTTGTTTGTACTAGTAGTACAGAACAGCATACAAGCAGATGCCAAGTTGTACAGTGTCAAGTATGGGTGCTTTAAGAAGACTGAAAGAAAAGATAATTTTGTGGGCCTGAATCATTAGGAAGGACATCCTGGAGAAGACAGGCAGGGGATAACATCATGAAAAGGAGCTTGGAATTAGGAATAATCATTTGAGGGGACTGTTTAGGAATGCAACAAGGATTTTCAGGCTGGCTGAAGCTAAGGGTTTGTTTTGACGAGTAAAGGCAGAAAGGTTGGTTGGGCAAAGTGGAACTAGATTGGGAAGGGCCTTGTACTCTAGGCTGAAGAGTTTGCCATTGATTTTTGGCATCCACTAGGGCGCCATTGAATATTTTGATCAGGGAAAGTGACACGATTCCTATGTTTGAACTGTGTTTAAGAAAGACTAGTCTTGGGGCAGCTAGGTGGCACAGTGGATAGAGCACCAGCCCTGGAGTCAGGAGGTCGAGAGTTCAAATTCAACCTCAGACACATAACACTCATTAGCTGTGTGACCCTGAGCAAGTCGCTTAACCCCAATTGCCTCACCAAACAGAAAAAAAAAAAAAGAAACACTAGTCTAGCAGCCGAGTTCAGCGTAAGAGAAGAGAGCCAGGGAAGCCAGCTTGAGAGGCTCTGGTAAGCTCCAGGTGTAAAGTTATCCTGATCATTCCTAGGCTGTGCTAACTGATTAGAATCAAAATTCTTTGTGCTTTAGTGGATGTTAGAAGCACCCAGCCTAGCTAGCCCTTCCACTGCAGAGATGCTAAAGACCTAGTCCGTATTCTTAATCCCTCATCCCTGAAGTGTAGGGAAGAGCAGTACATGTCCCTCTGCTGGGGAATATCAGCCTTTTCACTTGAGTTTTCTCAGGTTTAAAATTAAATATTTCACCCTGCCCTAGGCAAGTAACCATAGACTCAGAATCACTGCTTTGAAATATACCTTAGAAGTCCTTTTGTCCAACCTGTGTCCTTAAATGACTATTTATAACAGGTATGTTTGTCATTTGGTACTGATGCACCTGCCATAAACTCTTATTACTGACACAAGAGGGGGGGAGAGAGAAAGAATGGCTTGAACCATGGGGATCTGTTGGCACCTTCCATGAGTGATTATGGTCTTCCTGTCCTGGCCCAAACCAGAGCTCATTGATCATTTTCCCTTGGCCACTGAGGATTCGTGGTCCCCATTTGTGAAGTCATCAGAAAGACTGATGATTGTTATCTTGGAGGTGGGGAAAATAATCGTCTTCTCAGTATAAATGGGAGAATGACCAGGTCAGGGCAATGAGTGAGAGCTCTGTGTATATGTTTTACACTAACACTTGTCTTGTTGCTTTTTTTTTTCTACCAAACCGAAACTCTCCTCCCTACAACTCTGTAGTGTGTAGACGGGAAACCACTTGCGCCTGTTGTTGGAGCTGAGGTACATTCGCTGTGCTCTTCACTTGCCATTTGCCTTAACAGGATGTGGTATTTGCTATATGTAGTGTCTGCTCTTATGGGTTTACTGCTCCCCCAGCACGAGGACTGTGTGCTTTGGGGTGGGGTGTCAGATGGAGGCAAGAAGAGAAAGGAACTGATTACCAAGCAGTCTAAACCCCAGTCCCTTATGTGGTTGATTTATCACCTGAATACATACTGAGATCAATGTGGCAGCCTCAGAGTCGATGAATGAGAGGGGTAATGAAAGTCACACAAGCACAGACTTCCCCTTGATGGATGAACAGTTTGTGTTACAAGGAATCATTGTGGAATCATAGATTCAGAGCTGGAAAGTATCTTGGACTAGAGGTCATTAGTCTTAACACACTCCTTTTACAGAGGAGGAAACTGAGGCAAGTGATTTCCCCAGGTCACACATGGAGTAATGGGAAAAAGCTGAGGTTCGAACTTAGGTTGTGCCCGGGCTCCAACTCAAAATGACTCAGGATGATTTTCCCTGTAGAAGCATTCTTCTAGCTGGTGGGTCCTTAGGCCAGCCTACAAAAGACTTGTAAGTGGCTCTTGATTTACAACATGGGACCTTCAGTTTAGAGTTGGAAAGGACCTTGGAGGTCATCTAGTCCAGCCCTCTTCATTTCTTCTTAAGGGAGGAGACCATAGGACAATAAGGTTTGGTCATTTGCCGGGGTCTCACAACTACAAGCAGCTGGGATTCACACTCAGCTTTTCTGGCCCCAGAGCCAGCAGTCTTTCCTTCGCACCCCATTGCCTCAAGTTCACCATTAGCACCACCCTTTCAGCTCTACCTCACTGCCAAGTTCTCACACAATCACTGTAGGGAAATGGAATTCTGGAACTCATTTGGAACTCTGATTCAGGAAGCCATTATAGGGATTCCCTTCTCCCTCCCTTCCCTTCCCCAGAGGTAGCTCCCTATCATGAGGGATTAGGATCAGGAGGTAGGGGCAAAGGAGATATTCCAGGTCCTAATATACTCATGCCTTTGTATCTGCATAACGCAAGACCCCTCTGTGCATCTAGAGGTGCCTCTTCCTAATCTCTTCCTCTTGGTCGGAGAAGTTCTGCCTTTTCTCTCTAATTTGCACTAGAAAGATGCTTTCCCCACCCCACCCCCAGCTTCCACCACAGGAATCCCCAGGAACCCTGGGGGAGGAGGGAGACAGGCAGCCTCTTTTCTGTAGGGACTTCTGCCTCTCCATAACAAGAGATTTCTCCTCTCTACCTGCACTTTGATGGCAGGAGGTGCCTCTGTACTCGTCTGCTTGGCTAAGTAAGAAAAAGCCCCTTTTCACCTTTTTTGTTGTTCTGGTCCTTTTAGTCATGTCTGACTCTTTGTGACCCCTTTTGGGGTTTTCTTGGCAAAGATATTGGAGTGGTTTGCCTCTTCCTTCTCCAGCTCATTTTACAGATGAGGAAACTGAGGCAAACAGGGTTAAGTGACTTGCCTAGTGACTTGTCACACAGCTAGTAAGTGTCTGAAGCCAGATTTTAACTTGGAAAGTTCTTCCTGACTCTATCCACTAAACTACTTAGGTCTCACCTTTACAACTCTGTAAAAGAAAGCCTCTCCAGGCCTCTGGATCTGCACAAGAGGTCCCCTTCAGTGCCTGTAATTCCACATAAGAAAAGACTCCTTTACATCTGTACAAAAAGACAGAGAAGGCCTCTCAGAGATATTGCGTCTCCATAAAAGGACTCTGCAACGTCCTTTCTTCTCCCTACTCCAGGCACATGATTATGTCTCTGTAATAACCTAATAGTAGCCAGCATGTATATAGCACTTTTAAAGTTTGCAAAGTGATAGTATAGATAGACAGACATCTCATTTGAACCTTCAATCAACTGTACATGGTAGGTGCTATTATCATCCCCATTTTATAGATGAGAAACCTGAGTCTTAGAGAGTTTAGGTGACTTGCACAGTCACACAGCCAGTAAATAAGTGTCTGAAATAGGATATGAACACAGGTCTCCCTAACTTTTGAGTCCACGTCCCTATCCACTAGGCTACCTAGCTGCATAATACAGAAGTTCCTGATCTTTATTTTTTCTCTCTAATCGGCACTAGAAAGATGCTTTCCCCGTTTGGCATCCCCTTTTGGCAATCTGGTGCTGCCCATGAACCCCCTTGTCAGATAAGATTTTTAAATAATTAAAAGAAATATCAAATCCAAATAAAGATATAGATATATGTAATTTTTTTTTTTCCATCTGAGTTCATCGATCCCCTGAAATCTGTCAAGGCCATAAGGGCTCTGGAGCCAGAGCAGCTCGACCTGGAGTTAGAAAGACCTGAGTTTAAATCATGCCTCACATTCACTCAGAAATTTCACGTGGTCCTCTGTGACTCAGAGCCTATGCTGGCTCCTGCTGATCATAGCTTTTTTTTTTTCCTAAGGGGTCACAAGCTATCTGTTTAAATTCCCTTCTAGAATGTTGATGGGAGTCAGTATCAGGTTTACTGCGCAGTAGTTTCTGTAATCTCACTTCTTCCCTTTCCCATGATTTTCCTTTCTTCAAAATTATTAAGAATCTTACAATCATATCTGCGAATCCTTTAAGTAAAAATTCTGAGTTATAGTTTTTCTCAGTCAATTCAAATTCATTTAAAGTGGCTAGGTACTAATTTTTTCAGGTCTTACTTTTTAATCATTCTTTAGTGCCTCCTTTGTTTTCTTGCCTTTCCAGTGAGATCATTGTTCTTAATGGAGAAATCAGAAGCAAAATCTCAGAGCAAAGGGCAACTTTCTTTCTTTCATCTGTTAACATTATACCATCTGTTCCTAAACAACAGACCTATCTACACTTCATTGCCCTTTTTGTTCAGAATGACACTCTTGTATTCTCACTAGGTTATTTACTCCCTTCCTCCAGCTTTTCAGTCTGTTTTCATCAGAGAGCTCCTTATGTGGCTCCATCAGTTGTGGGGGATTTTTTAGGCCACTCCTTCTTTTCTTCTTCATGGTGATCGTCTTCAGTCATGTTGTCAGAATTTCGTTCTTGAAAGCCTCCCGTTCTTCATGAAGAGAAACTGTGCCTCTTTTCTCAAGTGATTTAAAACTTGGTTTCCTAAAATATAATATACGTGTCTGACATACCCTGCATTTTCCCCAGCTCCCAGATGATAGGTCAGTTTTTCCCTATATTTCTGTTACTATTTTACCATCTAGTTCTTCCTTTTGAGCTGGAACTAAGGCCATACTAACAGTGATTCTTCATTATTGCCTGTACCTTCTGGGAAATGAATTTATCAACAAGACGAGTCAAGAATTGGTCAGATCATCTACTTTCAGCCCCCAACAGATATCTTATCATTACAGTATCTTGTCTTTGTGCCAGCTTTATAGGCAGTATTTAGGAATGTATCATCTATATCCTCCCTCTGGCTGCCCAGGCTATGCTACTCTCCCACAGTGAATAGATGACCTATGGCACTATCCAGCTCTAAGTAAAGACAGTTAGAATGGCTTTAAAGAATGTATTTGATAAGAATGTAAATGCACCCTGGGTACAACTAACTTGAGACGTTTAGCAAAGACCACAGCCTCGTTATGATAACATAAACCACATTTCTTTTGTCTTCCATAGGACACTCTTTTCCTAGGGGAGAACAAATACCAAACACTACCAGGGAAACTTCCGGGAACTACACACAATGGAGAGCCTGGAACGTCCATCCCACCCACTTCTCAGACCTCCGGGAGCAGCCTGCCAAGCCTGAGTAAGTCCCTCTGGTTTAACCTCTGACCTAAGAGCCCCGGCACCCAGGGCCTGAATAGGCAGACCTCTCCATATATGTTCTGAGAGGCATGCCTGACTATTTTGCTATAGAGCCACATTCTGCCCAATTCTTCGCTTTCTCTAACAAATCCACACCTGGCCATAGCACAAGCTTGGGAAGGAGCCACAGAGAAAGGTCATCTGGTGAGAAGCTTAATCTACATTTACACTTAAGAGGGTCATAATTGAGGTCAAAGTTTAATGAGCATTGTTTAGCTTAATCACAATGAGGAACAAAGCCGATAGATATTCTTTTCTGGGCAACAGGTGCCAGAGAGCTCGTCTGTTGTTTTTGGATGAATATGAAAAACAAACCAAAAAAAAAAAAAAACGCCCCACGACTCACAACTAGTTTGGTTGTAGACACCATCCTCCCTAATCCCCTGGTGTGTGTTTCTGTGGCAAAGGGGCCACTCAGTAATAAATCCATAAAGGTTAGATGTTGCAGCATTGCAGATTGATTGGTTCCTTAAGGAACCATTGATTCCCCCTCTCCACTTGTAAACCAGTGAAATGTCAGTCCCAACTTTCCCTCCTCCCTTGTCGTCCTTCCTTTCCATTTCTTCTCCCCGCTATGAGCTCATGGGTGTATTTTTTTCATTATCTCGTTGGAAAAATAGAACTATCTGAAAACTTAAAGCAAGAGGGAGCCTCAGAGGCTGTTTAATCCAGCCGTCTCATCTTACAGATGGGGAAACTGAGGCTTGTTCTCATTCACAATGGGGCTAGATAGGTAAATGAACTAAACAGGAGGCTGTATTTAGGTCACTTTGTCATTGAGAACCTTGTCCCCACGGCTGCCATGGCCAGAGTTTCCTGACCCCATTTCTTCCTTTAAAACCATAGGCTTGCTAATCTTTCTAGTTAGATCTGATGATCACTATTATAATCATCATCCCCATTTTACAGATGAGGAGACTGAGACTCAGGGAGAACCAATGCTTATCTAGCTTTTAAGTGTCAGAGCCAGGATTTGGACCCAGACCCCTCCTGATTCTAAGTCTAGTATTCTTTCTACTATATGGCACCACATGGTGTATAAAGACTACAAGAGTGAAGGTTTTTGTCAAAAGTGAGAATTTTTTCAAATCCTCCCTCTAATCCTCTTATCTTTGAGGGCTGATAGCTCAGAAATAGGGACTTAAGGATAAAAGGAGCCAAGTAGATGTTTCTAAGGCTCTGACTACTGCTATTTCTACTACTACTGCTACTGATGATGATGATAGCATCCTTAACTTGACCCCTAACTTTAATGTTTGCAGTGTCCTTATATATATATATTCTCCTTTGTTCTTTTGAGACCCCAGTGGAAGTTGGTATACTTCTCACCCTCCAATTTGTGAACCATTTTTAGCAATGTCTGTTTTCCAGTCCCATGGTGGGCTTCTCACAATACTGGTAGTATAGATCTGAGACGAGTTCCCTTTTCCTTTCCCCCATACCGGGCGTCCACATTCAGCCCATCACTTCTTTCCTTTTCCTGACTACTGATGGAGTAGGCCAGGCAGGCAGGTATTTGTGGAGAATTAAAAATTTCCTTAGGAAAAACAGCATCAGAAGCATGGGAAACTGCCCAGAAGAATGAGCAGTGTGATCTATGCGCCTCTTTCTTTGCCTTCCAATGCAGTAATGACTGTTATGGCGCACTAGCCCCAATACTCCACCACAGTTTTGTTTCTCTCTTTCTCTCTGTTTTGTTTTTCTCTCTTGCTCTGTGACACTGTTGTTCATTTCTTTGCTTCCTCATAACTCTGTTGGGCTGGCCTGGGGTCTCTCTTGCTCCTTCATGTGGCTTTTCTGCTTCTTGGATGGTTGGAGCTCGTGGCCGGAGTGTCAGTGCACCGATATTAGGTACTGTGATCATTCCAGGTGAGGCTGGGAGTTAGAATGCCTTTCCCCTGGCAACCTGCACTCATTCTCCATTCCCAATTACTCTGTTTGGTCTTGACTTGCAGTAAAGACATTGTCTTTATGAGAGGGGTGGGGTTCCATCCTTACAGGGTTGTTCCCAAACGCTTAAGAGAAGAACAGAGCCTAGACGGACCTGTAGGCCGCACAGTTTTGAGCAATCAAGTTAACTCTCCAGAAAGTTAAAACCCAGACCAAGCTATGAGACTTTGCATATCCATTTGCAAAATCCTATATGCAAAGCCATATTTCTGTGAGATATTTCCTGCTAAGGCTGAGCGTGGTGGTGTGCCTGTAATCCTTTCTACTTGGGATGCTGAGACTAAAGCTTGGGAATTCTGAGCTTCAGTGGGCTAAATTGATTGGGTGTTCCCCCCTACATCTGACATTGATATGATGAGCCTCCTTCCTATGGTAGCTAGGAAGGATAGAACCAGTCTGGGTTGAAAACAGTAAGTCAGAGCTCCCATGCCAATCAGTAGAGAGGTCAAGCCCATGAGTAGTCACTGAATTTCCAAGGTCAGTGAGATAGATACCTAGTCTTTAAATACAGATACATATATGTGTATATATGTATATATATGGATAGATAGATAGATAGATAGATAGATGTCATTGAACCATGGCATGGATGAGCTGATTCCAAAATGTCATTTAAGAAAATATTTTCCCCTTTCTCTCCGTCATCTTAGTTTTACTGTTTTTCCCTCAGGAGAAACTGAGAGCAATTTGGATAATACTGTCACATCAAATGACCTTTCACCTACTTCTTCTGGAACCGACTCGGGGCCCCAGTCTCCACTAACTCCAGAAATGAAACGGAGTCCTAAAGGCATCAGGAAATTCTGGGGAAAGTAAGTTTGCTGTTGTTTTTGGAGTGGAGGGAGTTTTTAATACAAACCAAATAGGCTAATTTTTTTTTAATACTTTTTAGTTTTTTATACCATAGTCAATTCCATTAAAAACATACACATACATACACACACACACACACACACACACACACACACACACACACACACACACA